CAGGGCCTGACCCAAGCTCTACCGTCGCCAGGCCGGCGCAGGGATTCCTTTCCGGGCAGAAAGAACTGTGTCTGGGTGGGACACACTTGAAATTTAAAAAATTAAATGCATTGCCATCAATTCTCTTAATTCTATCCAGCTGGCCACGGGGGAGAGGTGGAAGGCGTCGGAGGAAGGACCAGCCTGTAGGAAGAATCCAGCGGCGATGGGGGGCGATGGCGGGGCGAAGGCTTTGCCCGGGTGCCTCTGCGGCCAGGGGGACCTTGGGGGGGGCCCGAGCATCACAAACACGGGGTAGCAATGCACCCGTCGGCGGCCAGGCCGGAGGCCGAGGCGTTGGCGTGCCCCTCATGACGCTGGTATGTAGTCACTGTGCTTTCAAAACTTGTGCTCCACAGAACGTGCCTCACTTCTTACTAACGTGGCTGCCTTTTGTTTGGTGCGTTCAAACGTTGAGCCCGTCGAGTCTGCGTGAAATCGTGTGTTTCTGTAATAGGTAACGTAGCGCAAGGACGTGGAAATGACACGTTCAGGTGAGCATGTGTTTAAAAGCCTGGCGTTTTCTACAGTGAACATAAGGTCTTACTCTGGACCAAGCGGTAGCATATTCAACTGTAGATGGTGGGAAAAAACAGCTTCTCGTGTGCGGAGCCTACAAACCGGGGTGTGTGAAATGATGCCCACTGTCACCAGGCTGTCACAGAGATTAATGCAGGGGAAGTCCTTTGGAAGTAAAACCTGCTATTAAATGCTGGATGCAATTAACATTATGAGATTCAGGCCCATCTATCAGCAGCCACTGAATAAAGATTAACGACCGTCTCTCCACTACAGGTGCTCCTCACTCCTGTTCCACCCGTGTCTCCGAGGGGAACAGAATATTTATCCATAATAATTCTGTGGACTTATCCTGGAACGCAGTTCCTATCAGGCGTACACAGATGTATTGATATCTGACTCCGTAGCCTGATCAGGACCGTCCCATACCACCCTGCCAGTCCGTGGCCAACGCGGACGACACACGACGCTTGGTTAGACACCAGTGAATGCTGTTGTGAGTTCAAAATGCGGTTTATTGAGGATGCTGTTTCCAAGAGGAGGATGGGGAAGAGCCAGGTCTCTAGTGCAGGGGCCGTGTAGTGAGTCTTCCTCCAACAGTGTCGTAGAGGATGCGTCGGGGGCCCGTTCCCAACGGAGAATGTCACGTCCGGTGACCACGAAGGCCCCCCGGTTACTGCCTGTTTTACTTAAAATGCTCGGCCGCTGGCAGTCATCACCACGAGTGATGACGAATTACACAGATGCCCAAGAGGAAATTTATTTGATGGTGTTTGTCTCCACACGTATTCAACGAGGTCATGCCAAGTTTTAATGTGTTCAGCGACTGTCTCGGGAAAAGCAATTGTGTTCTTGGGAGCTTCTGTCTGGGTTACTTAATTTTATAGCTCCTTCGTGTTCCCTTTTCCTGCTCAAGCCTGTTATTTAACCTTCGTTTCGGCTAAAACGCTGTCTGTCATTGGTCTTGGTGAGCTCTCGGCACTGCCCTCCCGTATTCCTGTGGGGGCGCCCCCTGCGCCTCCCTCGGTCCCCTCCCTGCTGAGGTGAACATGCCTCCCGGGCGCCAGCAGTTAGGGTGGACCCCCCCCTGGGCTGAAAACTCCGCACGGGGCGGGCGCTCTGCATTGAATGTTTTAATTATTTGCCTATTTACATATAGTGTCTAACCTAGGGCCAGGAACAGAGTGGGCCATCAGTGTATATTTGGTGAATGAATAGGTCAGTGATTCAGATTAAATATTTTTAAATAATTAGTTTATATATATATGGCCAGTGAGCGTTTAACTGTCCTGGGATGACCCTGAGGCGGGTAACTTTAGCCCTGATGTTTCACGCACCAGCACGCGGTTCTGCTGCAAGGCTCAGCTTGGGAGCAGTGAGACATGACCAGTGAACCCCATGGCTCGCGCAAACCACACTGGCTTCTCACTCTCCTGACATGCCAGGGGCTGTGGCTGGGCTCCTCCAGCCCCGCTCCCACGGTTCTCATTCCAGACGCTCGTCTGCGAGGAGCCCTGAGGACACGCTGTCCTTCCTGGGGAGGAAAGACCAAGAGTTGGAGGAAACTCGGGTGATATTTCTGAAGTGTCTTCTTGGCCTTGGCTCCTTGCACATTTGCTCATATTCCGTGGGCCAAACCTGTCAGACCCAGAATAAGTGGGAGGGTGTAAGATTATCTTCGAAAAAAAGGGGAGCAATGGAGACAGTCACACAATCCACCTCACCTCTCGTGACATGGGGGCTGTAGAGCAGGTGTCTCTCAGAAAGGAAGCTCTATTTTTATTTTTTTAATCCTAACCTGAGGACATGCTAATAAGGCAAGAGCGAGGGAGAGAGAGAGAGGCCCAGGCGTGTGCCCTGACCTGGAATCAAACCTCTAACCTTTCCGTGCACAGGACAGTGCTCAACCAACTGAGTCATTTGGGCCAGGCAAGTATCTCTATTTTAAGTGTGAAATTCAAGGACCAGAATTTGTTGTTTATAATGCTTAATTCAAATCATAGAACTCAGAAAGGTCTTTGGCATGCAGCACAATAAAATCGCGATTTAAAATGAAAATATCTGTGACTTTGGTAAATTTCATGGTCATCTGCCCTCTCTGAGCCATAGTGTCAGTATATGTAAAAAAAAAAAATTGAACTGAAATACCCACCTTATAGAGCTTTTGTGTAAGTTACATGATAACCTAAGAAAATTCCAAGGCCAACTCCAGGCTTGGAGTAATATCATCTCTCTCTCTCTCTCTGCCTCTCTCTCTCTTTCCCCCCCTCTTTTTCTCTCCCTTTCTTTCCCTCCCTCCTCTTTCTCTTTTCCTTTCTCTAAAATATCTCTGTGCTAGAATAAACACTTCGTTTCTCTGCTTTGCTCAGTAACATTTGCTTTTCTGAACTCTATCTTCTGTTAGCATTTTTAACAAGAACGCACCTGAGCTGACTTTTCACAGCTGCCTCCTGTAGAGCTGGAAGCGGGGCCTTGTTCTCGCCTCCAGGTCCCAGGGCTCCAGGTGCTTCCTCTACCTCCCCACAGAGTTAGAGACAAACAAGGGAGGGCTCTGGGTTTCCCCTTTCACTCGGGAGCTCTCATAGGTCACTGTCGTTGCTTCAGTCCTTTCCTGAATCCTTCATACGAAAGGTATTGAGAAACTTGCGTAAGAGTCTAGTTACTAGAAGCAAGAAACCCAACTTTTCAATTTCGTTCTCGAAGAATCTCGTCTCCCACCCACATTCTTTCAAAGCACTGAAGCGACTGTTTGTATTGTCTTCCAACTTAAAATAATTTGACAGATCACTCCTGAAAAGAATCTAAACTTAGGTCAAAGTGTTAAACTTTAACAAATATGAGTGATGCTGTACACAGATTTTGCGTAACTTCGTGAAAATTTGACACTTTTCCGCAGGTCTTGTCAGGCTCTTGGTAAAAACCAAGATTATTTATTAACCTGACTAGCAAAAAAAGACAAAAATAAATTTTTATGGTAAATATTGAAAGTGTTTTAATGTATATATAATTATATATGTACATATTACATACATAATAAAGTTTTGCAGTAAAGTAATTTGACTGTGTTCAAGTAAAAGTTTTCTCATTTTTATATTCCAAAAAGTACTTTTGTGTCCACTTAATCCTTCATCCATGGCCTCATGTATTAAGTAAACATTTATGACGTGTGTGCTCTGTGCCAGACACCTCTTTTGGGACCTAGACATTTAAATATGAATGTTTTCTCATAAGGAAGATAAGTCAATAGATATTGTACCATAGATTCACACTATATGAAAGTATAAATGCAAGGATGCATACACTTACATTGTAGACTCTAAGTATAGATTGAATATTGTGAAAGCAGCTACTTCCCTGAGAAAGTTAAAAAGATATGCTCCTCCACGCCTGATACTGATCTGGCTGTTTTGCGTGTGTTGTCTCCTCGTGACCTCACAGTGACCACCATCTTCTCCGGCAGGATTCACCTGAAGTTGCCCTGACTACAAAGCCTATGCCGCTCACATGACTCTTTACCTTCTAATGAAAGGAAACTATCAAAGGGTCTCCACAGAGAAACGGGGGTACCTGCAGAGTGTGTTGAAGGCGTGCAGTGAAGGTCTGTCCCATGGAGGAGAGAGTGTATGAGTTGAAAGCCACCCAGGAGTCATCTCGTGTGAAATGCTGGCTTTAGAGATGAGAAATTCAGGGCCAGGAAAGTCATTGCATCCCCAGGGTCTTGCATCAGCTCAGAGACTGCAATTTCACTCTTCCAGCTGCTCCTGTGGTGCTGCTTGAGTCAGACCCCACATAGTCTACAAGGGGAATGACCTCAGGACGAAACAAGACAGACCCCAATGCAACTGCAAAGAGGATTTCATTTCCCAAGACACATTTGATTCCATACCAACAAAATCCCAAAGGGGAAAATGTCTCTTTACAAAGAAGATAGAAATACTAGGTCTCTCTGCACATGATGTCATGGAATTTAATGACTCCTAGAGGCATGCGGGAGGTGGCGAACCGTGGGAGCCAAGGGACCAGCGACAGCCCCTTTGGGGCACCAGTCACCAGCCCAGCTGACACAGAACCTTCGGCGCTGGTACTGTCAGAAAGATAAAACACATCCTTTTGGCTGGTGGAGGTGTTGGCTTTCTTTCCTGAAACCAGATGGGCTCTAATTAATGCAGTAGCTGTGTGCAGCCGGCTTCTTTTTATTCCTAACTGGTGGCCTGAGATCCATTTGGGATTCACCGAATGAGTCTGTTCCAGGAAACTACCATTTGCAGTAATTAACTGCGTGGTATGTGTAGGGAGCATTTAGGGGGTAAAATCGAGACGACAATGACGAACTCTCATTTCTCTGCACCTTCAGGCTCTTCAAATTTAGGGATTGCTTTTTAAAAGAGGAGTGACATCCCCAATACCATCTGGAGTCCCTTAGCCTTTAGATGGTTGTCGCTATGGCGCATCTCCCTGTAAGGCAGCATCTCGGTCTTGTTCCGAGCATCGCTGTGCCGAGTGAAGCGCCCACCTCCCCAGCTAGGCGCGGCCACAAGGACCAGTTCCAGTCAGCGAGAGGTAAGCAAAGGTCGGCTGAGTGCGGATTCTTCCCCCGGGGGCTGTCCACGTGGTGCCCGAAGGTGAGAGGTTATTTTGATTTCATGAGGATAAAATCCTCATGATAAGAGGGAAAGTGCAGAAGAATGGACAGAGCCCAAGACAGAACGACCTCCTGGGTCCCTGCCCGCTCTGGGCTGGCCTGGGTGACTAGAGACCCAAATCCCCGTTTGACAAACCGGATCCTCATTGATACCCCAAATCCCAGGATATCCAAGCTTTCCCTGGGATACTTTTGTCCATTAAGTCAAACAAGTCTTGTATCTTACTGGGCACCTTTCCCTGCATGTGAAAATGAATTGCCCATTGTCATGAAAACACGGGTGCAACTATGGGGCCTCCTCTCTACCCTCAGCACCCGAAAATCCACCCCCAAGATGGGGCTGTGGGAAAGAGGCTCTCCTGGAGAGTGAGGGTCACAAGAAGGGCTTTATATTGTTGAACTCCACACCTTCAACGTCACCTATCAGAGATTAATTTTGTGTCTTCTCGGACTCCACAAAATGGAGATTTTTCTTGACAGTTTTGCATATAAAGGCTACAGCCCTTGGATTCTCTCTCCACCCCTCAATTCTCACTTTTATATTTACATGCAATTTCTCTATGAAAGCTCCAAAAAATTATCTCTCTGTCCTTGGAGCAACAGTTGGGTTTTTGAACTTGGGAGCCATCAGACCAACACACAGAGTGTGACTTTCTACCTCAGCTGGGTCGTAGGGTATTTTGTGTTGGTGTATATTTTATTAGAAAAGTGTTATTGTGGTTTCGTGTTGGTACCAGGTGTGAAGATAAAGATTGTTCACTTTGTTATAAGTAAAGGAATAATTTATAAATACATATTAATATGGATTTGTCTAGTTTTATATTTCTAAAAAATGTCTTCCTGGGCCTTTTTAATTATGTTACTACTTCAAAGGGCAGACATAGGCTTTGTAAATGGCTCTAAAAATATCAGTAGGATCTGAGAAGATTTTGAAGGGTTGCATGGCGGGAGACTCGGATGGTCTGGAAGACACTTGGTTGTTGTGCAACCGTTTGCATCTCTGTATTGCCTTGATTTTTAAAAAATCTATTAAACAAATAATAGCATCTAGTGGTCGCTAGATGGCTTCCAAGATTAATGAGACTATAAATACAGCCTGCCTGAGACGAGAGAAATGCTGTAAAATGGTAGGGTTGTTGTTTTTGATTTTTTATTGAGAAAAATGACAAATCTTAGTTTGGAGTTTCGCGAACTGTAATTTTTTTAACCCAAACTAGATATGAATTTTGATCGCTGCAGTTTGCCTTAGATTTCCATTCTCAGGGCCTATGGGGTGCGTACAGGGTGGGGCAAAAGCGGGTTTACAGTTGTCTGTATGGAACATAGTACAAAATTAATAAATAATAAGACAAGCCGTGTGCTCACAGCTGGGAGCCTGCATCGCCCGCCCGTGTTCCGTTGGGCACTAATTCGGGAGGTGAGCTCCCCACCCCAGGCCGGGATAAGTGCACCATTCGGCAGCCCCTTGCTGCCTGGCGGGCACTGCTGAACCGCAGCGCGGAGAAAAGCCCAAAGCCCGGCTCCCAAACACGCGACAGCTTTCCCGGGGGGAGACTCCCCGGGAATGGGCAGGGCCGCCCCCGCGCCGCTGGGATCACTCACTGGGAAGCGCTGTGCCCTGTCCCCGCAGGGGACCAGCTGCAGGCAGTTCCAGGGAGCCAGGCCCGAGAACAGGTGAGTCAACAGGTGAGTCGGGGTTCCCGCCGCAGCGGGCGCCTGGGCCGAATCGCACCCACAGCCCGCAGAGCCTGCAGGGCGCAGAGGCCCCGGGCTTCCTGCTGAGACCAGAGCGCCCTGTGCTGTGAGTCCCGGGCCCTCGGGAGGCTGAGTCTGTGCTTTAGAATCAGGGTCAAGCTTATGTCTAAAACTCAGAAAAGAGAAAAGCATTTGCTTTATTGTTTTTTCCAGAAGTAAGGATTGAGTAAAGATAGGCAACCATTCCCCGTGCTTTCTGACTTCTGCAAGAAAGAGAACTCCGCTTTCATCCTGAACTTCTCCTATATTCCTCTGATTAGGTAAGTGATGCTTTTTCTTTTTATTACCCAGTTATTTTTGGCATGAGACACAGTGTTGTCTGCAGTTGAGGGGGGGCGAGTTGTTGCTTTAGGAAGCAAATTTGGATGAAAAATGCCCTTGATATAAATAAGATGTACCTCTGGGCCATATCCCTGTTCTTAGAATGTCCTCCAGTCCTAGGAACACATGCTGAAAGGTCATAGGAAAAAGCTTAAAGTATGAAAACTTATTTCTTAAAAGATATACTTTATGTCGAGTGTTGGGCCGAAGCGGGTAAGTCCTCACTATGCAGATACAATCAGCCTCTCTTAGAAGCAGGAATTTCTCCTGAAAGAAGTTTTACTAGAAATACTTATATGACATATAAAACTTATGATATAAAAAAATTTACCGAAAGACTTGATTGATTGCTTTAAAGAATTAGGATGAGATTTTCATAGATCTTAGAAATAACTAGATCTTTGAAACTGAGGCTAATACATTTTATTACTTATAGGCACAAAATAGTGTCATCTTGAATATTCTTTCTACTAGGTACTATTTAAGTGCTTGCTGTATGCCAGGCACCATGCTCACCAAGTTACAGGCACCATCCTGCCCAAGACCCACAGCAATCCTATGAAACAAGTAGATTTTGCCCAGTTTGAAGAGGAGCCCTGAGGCTAGAAAGAGTGAGACTTTGTCCAAGGTTCCTCGGCTGGGCGGAGACCCGCATCTGTTTAACTCCAAAGCTCCTACAATATCCTGGTCATGTTTCGTATTCTTGTTTCTTTTTAACACAAGACTTTTATCCCTGTGACTCTGGTTAATATTCATGTTTGTGATTTTTAAAGTGGTCTCTGATATTTATATGATAAGAGGATGACATTTTTAAGGACTCCTGGATCCAAACGATGTAATTCTAGAGAGAGGTCGTTGACCCTGTTCAGTAGGGAGGCTGCCTAGGAGCCCCGGGGCGGCCTCCCTGTGACGAGGCTGCCGCCTGCCTCAGGCCCACGCGTCTCTGGTTGAAGAGAAACCTCAGGAGCGGGCCTGTGATGGCAGCTCGGGTCCTCTGCTGGCATCCGAGCGCTGCTCTTGGTGGGAGGAGGACGTTGGAATCGGGTCCTGGAACCCTCTCCCCCTCCCACTGTGTCGCTCGGTGTTTTAAAGCGTGTTGTGAGACGGCTGTGAAGTGCTTCGGGCGCCTTCCTTTCCTGTCGGAAGCTGTCTTGGCCCTGTTGTGATCAGGGCTGTGGAATTAGATGCCTGTTGTGTTCCTCCGCCTGCTTGGGGGTGGCAGGTCGGGTTCCGTGGCTCCGAGTGTGGGGTCTATGAGGCAAAGGAGAGCCTAGGAGCTCAGGCCATCCTGCGTGGAGTTTCAGCGCTCTGAGTCCTCTCCGCTTTGCAGTCTTAGGTTTGCATCGCTGCGGTGTTCGGAGCTGTATGCGCGCTTAGCAGAAGGAAAGGGGCGGGCGGGGGAGTCCGCGACCAGAGCAGAAGCCCTCTATAGGGTTCTTTAAAAAAATATCTACAAGGCATGGCATTCTGTCAATTTATTAGAAAGGCGAGATGTCCTATCCATTAACAATTCAAAAAAATCGGGGAGTGTATCGTAACTGTGTCTGGTGTTGGCTTGGGGGGTCCTAGACTTGTTGAGTGGGTCACTTTGTCAGGTGGATCAGTGTTTAATCACTATGCACACCTGAAGCTAATAGAGTGTTGAATGTCAACTGTATTTGGAAGATAAAAACAATTTTTTAAAATGCTAGTGTCACCCCTCCCATTGCCAGCAGCGGAGTTGGAGAGGTGAGACCCCTCCGAGCCTGGGGCTGCGTTGTTTCTAGGGGACAGCAAGAGTTCATAGGGACTGAGTCACAGAGGAAAGGAGTTGGGGACCAGTGGCATGTAAAACCATAAGCTCATGTCACCCTGCAGATAACCACTCTTATATTTCATAAGAGGAATCCATGGCTGATGTAAAATTAGGAAGTGTGACTAAAAAAAGAAAATATTCTTTTGACCAAGTCATTATTATTATTGTTGTGACTATTTCCCATTTGTCTCTGAAACTGATTTTATACTTCAGACATCAGTAGCCAGCAAAAGCTGTATCTCTGCAGACGGCCCCCGGATTTTCACCGTCATCCTGAGCCACGTTGTGCTGTTCGTCTTGCTGAGATAACAGTTCACCTTGTTTCGTTATTAAGGCAGAAGCGCGCATTCTGTTCAGCCTAAACATGTGAATTCCCTTCCTTTACCAAAGGAAGTTGACTATAAGCTGGAACCTTGGACACTGAAATAGGTACTGTCAAAACCGCTTTATTTAGAGAGAGGCTGGCTTTCTGCGGACTACTTGGGGATTTCGCTTTTGGGCATGAGCATCCAATCTTCATTATCTAGACGCGTTGGGTTCCCTTTCGTTTTCCTTGTTACTCTTTATCAAATTTATCAAGATATTTTTTTCAGTGGACAGAACCGGCAGTTGAAGAAAGCCTTTAAAGCAATGTTACTGTAGTCACTTAACCTGAAAGACGTGATAAGCGAAATCTTAAGTCTTTTCGTGTTTTGGAGGTGTGGAGATTTTGTGGGATCCGAACCCTTTGTCTAAGATAAGGTAGATTTCTGAATTCTATTTTCATATTCCTCCTTGAGGTTACTTTAAAAGCTTATAAAAAAGGCTCCTTAAATTCAAGGTAAAGAGCTTAAGTGATTGTCATGCAGGTTGTGCCGTGTCCCAGCCCACGTGCATGTGATAAGGGCTCCTGCAGAAGCTGCAGTGACTCGGCGGGACGGTCCCACTGGGAGTGAGGGCAGAGTCCCTCTGTGCGGGGGAGAGGCTGCACCCGGGGCGAGGCCGGCTGCACCTTGAATTTCCAGTCGCAGACGTGCCATCGTCAGCCCTCACGTCCCCTCCCTGGAGCCGGTTGCCTCCCTTGTGAAGCAGGGGCCGCGGATGATGCACTTTGCGGATTTGAGGGGTTGGGAATAACCTTTTCGCGGGGAAGAGTCGTTCAGAGCAGCTTGCACCCATCGCCTCCTTCCGCACTCAGTGGGAGCGATCGTAAAGGAGCAGCGTTTCGAGACAGCAGCCTTCTGCCCTGATCTCAAGGCTCAGTTTACCCGATTTAAGGGAAATCCCAGCTGCTACGTGGCAGCTGCAGCCAGAGGCCTCTGCCAGTGAGGTGGCCTCGGGCTCACCGGGACCTGGCCGCCCGCCGGGGCTGCCTGCGGGGGAGCACCACGTCTCGCGTGTTCAGGGCGCCGACGGGCCCGCCTCGCTCCTGGTCAACGAGGGAAACAGATTCCAAATCTCCGGGCGTGGAGAGTGTCTCTCTCCTGTGCTCTTTTTTTTTTTTAACTTATCTTTATTGTTGAAAGTGTTACAATAAATTTTTTCCCCATTGACCCCTCCACCCTGGACCCCCCTCCCTAGTCCCTCATCACACCACTGTCTGTGTCCGTGGGTTATGCATTTATGCATATAAATTCTTTGGTTAATCTCTCCCCACCCACCCACTCCCTTCCCTCTGAGATTCATCAGTCTGATCCATGCTTCTATGCCACTGAACCTATTTTGTTTGTTAGTTTATTATGTTCTTTAGATTCCACATATGAGTGAGATCATGTGCTGTTTGTCTTTCTCTGCCTGGCTTATTTCACTCAGCATAATACTTTCCAGGGCCCTCCATGCTGTCCCAAAGGGTACGAGATCCTTCTTTACAGCTGCGTAGTATCCATGGTGTGAATGTCCCACAGCTTTTTATCCACTCAGCTACTGATGGGCACTTGGGCTGTTTACAGATCTTAGCTACTGTAAACTGTGCTGCTATGAACATAGGGGCGCATATATCCTTTCTGATGAGTGTTTCAGGATTCTTAGGATATATTCCTAGAAGTGGGATCACTGGGTCAAAAGGCAGCTCCATTTTTAATTTTTTGAGGAGCCCCCACACTGTTTTCTATGGTGGCTGCGCCCGTCTGCATTCCCGCCCGCCATGCACCACGATTTCCCTCTTGGTCGCATCAGGAGCCCGTGAGAGCCTCCAGCCTTGCTGATTTGTTCGAATTATTCTCACATTTTATTTCAAGTTGTGTTTAAATAGTTGGAAAATATTTCCCTAATGATGACATTTCTTGAAATTGATTTTCAAAAATCCCAAAGCTGAGAGAAAGGAAAGTATCACTAAACATCTACAGAAATACCGTTTCTAAAAAAGAAATCAATGCCCATTGAATTTTCTCAATTCTCGGGAAAATTTAAGAGAGACACCTACTGGAGAGAACAGGATGTGTCTTGTTATGAGATGAATTTTCAGTTCCAGGAAAATAATAAAACACTATTCCCATTGCCCTCAGATTTTATGCCATGTGCCTCAGAGATCAGTGTGTCACCAGGGTTGGGAAGATTCATTTATGAACCAGCACGAGCACCGTATGGGCCACAGTCAGGAGCAGGCGGAGTCTGACGCAGAAGCTGAACACAGACCTCGCAGGGAAAGCCAACAAGTGTTGCTTATGCAGCCGACGGGGAAGAAGGGCCACCCCGGGCACACGGCGACGGCCCGACGGTTTCCAGAGCAGATCAAGGGGTAACTTCGGTCCTGCTCGCCCACTCACCGCAGCGCCTGGGGGGATAACTCCAAGCGATTGCAAGTCACATAAACCCGGACACGCAGCGCCGCAAGGCC